TGCCTAAAGTGCCTAAGCCTTAATCGAGCCTTGGTAAGTCACTGGTCAATGCTCATTGCCAAAGATATCATATATGATTTGATTTCTATTATCATTCATTTCATTGATCAGTCTCATTCAAAAATTGTTTGGCAATGTCACTCGCAAGATGGCGACACCAAAGAAAAATTTATTATATTCAGCTTTATTCACAACCAATGTTGTAGAGAATTTATTGAATATTGCTTTTAGTATTGGTTAAAAATCAATACCAATATCAAAAATAATTATTGGCAATACCAATACCAATATCAAATTTCAAGAAGTATTGCAATATCGTCCCAATACTTAAAAAAGTATTGGCAATACTACCAATACCAATACAATATTGCAATATTAACAACCCCGAGGCCTATCCACTATGCGGCCACTTTAGCATAGGCCTATCCACTATGCTGCCACTTTAGCATAGGCCTATCCACTATGATCCCACTTTAGCATAGGTCTATCCACTACGCTCCCACTTTAGCATAGATCTATCCACCATTCTCCCACTTTAGTATAGGCCTATCCACTATGCTCCCACTTTAGTATATGCCATATGCCTATCCACTATGATCCAATGTTAGTATTGGCCTACTTATGGGAAGTATTATACAATTTTCATAAATACTCTCTAAAAAAAAAATTCTTTAATAAAAAAAAAAAGATGCTAAGTCGTCAGAGGATAAATTGTCCCTACGATTAATTCAAGGCCATTAAATGTGACCGTCCCGCGTGCATGAAACACGATCCTATCGTCCAGTCGTATGTCTGACTGAATACTAATGCACATGTCAAGGCCAGTGAATATAGTGGCGCAGATGTTTCTTCAGCAAGGTCACTTGGGGGGGGGGGGCGTAAAAAATAATAATGCACTGGGTCTCCGGATTCAGAAAAAGCAAATACGATACCGAGTCTATTGTCCAACCAACCATAGGCATAGCTATGGGTTAGGGCCGCCTGGGGTGGACCAATAACCTTATTCCCCCCCCCCCTAAGGTCACTTGGGGGGGGGGGGCGTAAAAAATAATAATGCACTGGGTCTCCGGATTCAGAAAAAGCAAATACGATACCGAGTCTATTGTCCAACCAACCATAGGCATAGCTATGGGTTAGTGCCGCCTGGGGTGGACCAATAACCTTATTCCCCCCCCCCCCCAGACTCTTTTTCTATAGGAAAAAAAGCTGCAGTGGTCCGAATATTTCTTTCTCCATAATGTTAATAACAAAAACTTTAAGTGCTTATGGGAGGGTAGACTGCCCCCACCCTCTACGCCATCTTTCCCATGCCGTCCTTCCTACGCCACTGCTGCGAGATAATTGCAAGACGGTGATATTGCCTATTTGATGTTTCAATATTTGTTATGCGCAAAATGAATGCTGTTGAGTAAGATGTTAAAATAAATCAGTTTTGCCGCGTGAACTGCAGTTATGCAAATAAGAAACCTGGGCCTAATTAGCTTGTAGTTGGTCTCAAATGCCTCGGGTCCATTTTAACCTTGGACTCTACTGTGCCCCCCCCCCCATCCCCAAATCCCTCGAACTAAATAGTTAGCATTTCTATACCAAAAAATAAGAGAATGTAGTAAAAATAGCTCATTATTTAGTCCAAGGCTAAGTGCTTTAATTAATTCCAGGTGTTAAGCGGGCCATCTGTGCTCCTTAACATACCGATCCGAATGTGGAAGAAGTGCAGAGTTTCCCAAACAATGACACGTGACCACATGTCCACACAGCATTGGGTATGCGTCTATTTTTTTTTTTCATGAAACAAATTACCAGAAATAAAACATCTTCTGTGTAGCTGAAGAAGGTCTTTGTTGGTGTCGGGGGCCTGATTTCAATAAAGTTGATGAATGTGCACAAATATAAAAGTAAAAGTATAACCTCCATTTATAAACTGATGTCCAAGAAGAATAAATTTAAACTGGGGCGATCGCGTATTTGCAGGTGCAGCTTTCACGCAGCGGGGCTTTTTAACAATAAAGTGCTCGGTTGCACCTCTTGAGAACAAGTGACATCCCTTGTTTTTTTTACAGAACCATTGGACATGTGTCGCCCCCTTCCCTTTTTTTTTCTATAAACCATTGTGTTCAGTCAAGCGGGGAGGTGACCTATGACATTGGTCACACATCACTAATCACACAAAGCCATCAAGGCTTTCTCCTCTCGATTACAATAAATATCTTTCAGTGGAGAAACAACAAAGGCTGAAAGTCGACTGCCACTGCTCGTGATTACCATAGGTCAGATTAGGCCCGTCGTTATGTCCAACGGACATAATAAATCATATAAACTATTTCAAAACTACCTCAAAGCTTCAGACATATCTGCATTAGTTGTAGACATGTCTGTAAAATATATATATATATATATATATATATATATATATAAATATCAATACTTTTATATTTTTGAGGCCCAAAATTATTATATGTCTTGGACTCGGCATAAACGAAACCAAAACAAAGATCATGAAGTCATGATAGTGTAACAACTATTGAGAAAGAACACACATTCTTGGCAGAAAATGCGCTGCAAGAGGTGGAGGCCTTCACCTACTCGGGTAATTCCAATGACATAAATGGTGGAATTAGGAAAAGATGTAAGGGATAGAATTGGAAAGGCTAGGTCAGCATTTGTGACGATGAAGAAAATATTGGATTCTTATGAGCTGACTTTGTAAACAAAGTGTTAGCATTTTCAGCACAAACAACAAATCATTCTCATTCTTATTTCTTTGCGGCCAAAACTTGGAGAACAAAAGCGAGCATCATGCAGATGAAATGCTAGAAGAAGAAGCTTTACAGATACTAATCAGGGATCCTTAAAAAACGAAGTGGTCGAACTCCATCAACCATAAGACTAGACTTACAAGAGTAAAAGGCCGGGTTCCCAAC